CAACCCTGTCGTACAGTCATACGCATACATTTGTCTAGTGCTCTCCTAAAGTTGTTTTGCCCTCCCACCTCCTATTGGGAGGCTGTTCCTGAATCTCACCCCTCTGATGGTTAGAAACATTCTTCAATTTCCAGCCAGAATTTGTTCATGACCTGTTTGTATCCATCAGTTCTTGTGCCATCATTGTCTCTTAGCTTAAATAGCTCTTCGCCATCCTTGATATTTACCCTGGATGTATTTGTATAGAGCAACTATATCCCCTCTGTCTTCTTTTTGCAATACTAAACAAGCCAAGCTCTTCCAGTCTCCTGTTAAACTGGTTCCTCCATTCCCTGGATCATCCTAATAGCTCTTCGCTGTACCTGTTCTAGTTTAAATTCATCTTTCTTGAACATGGGTGACCAGACTTGCACACAGTATTCGAAATCAGGTCTTACCAATGCCTTGTAAAATGGCATTAATATTTTTCTCTCTCTCCTGGAAACGACTTGCCTGGCTCTTCTTAGGATCACCTTTGTCTTTTTCACAGCCTCATCACAGAGGTGGTTCATAGTAATCCTGTGATCAACCCACACACCCTGGTCTCTATCCTCTGCCATTTCCAGCCCCCAGCTTGTCGAAGAAATTCATATTATTAGACCCTAAATGAATGACTTTGCACTTTATACTATTGAATTTCATCCCATTTCTGTCACTCCCATCTTCAACATTATCCAGATCTTCCTGCATAATATTCTGATCTTCCTCTGTAATGACGATGCCTCCCAACTTTGTATCATCTGCAAATTTTAATAGCGTACTCCTAGTTTTTGTGTCAAGATCATTAATAAAAAATTGAATAATACTGTTCCCAAGACCAATGCTTGAGGAACTCCAGTAGTAAGTTTCCCTCCAGTCTGATAATTCACCTTTTCGCACAACCCACTGCCTTCTCCCCTTTAGCCAGTTCTTTACCCACTTTACTTTTCTTGTATTTGGAAAATACAGTCTGCTCAAATTTAACTAATAATTTCCCATGTGGTACTGTGTCAATTGTTTAATGAAGTCCAAGGATATTAGATCTACTACATTTCCATTAGCTAAAAAAATCAGCTATCTTCTCAAAGAGAGAGAAAAGGTGAGTTTGGCACAATCTAACTTCAGTAAACCCTCATTGCATTATGTCCCTTTTTGTTTATCCCATTAATTTAATTATTGTTTCCTTCATAATTTGTTCTAAAGCCTTGCATATGACTGAGGTTTAGACTAACAAGTTTTTAATTGCCCAAATCACTTTTTCCCTTTCTTAAGTATAGGTTCAACATTAGCTATTCTCCAGTCATATGGTATTAATACGTCTGAATATACAGCTGTATTAAAAATCCTTATTACCAGACCAGCAATTTCATGTGTTCATTCTTTCAGTATTCTGGGATGTAAATTATCCCTTCATCCTGATTTGAGTGTATTAAACTCTTTAAGTTTTTGTTTCACCTCAGATGAAATAAGTTTTATTTCTAGACACTCATTCCCATGAGCCTTATTGCCTTCCTGCACATGTTCTATATTATTATCCTTATTGAAAACAGAGGCAATTTATTTATTTAGTTTTTGTGCCATACCTAGATTATCTTTAATCTTCTTCCCATTCACACTGCATAGTGGTCCAACCTCATCCTTCTTTATTGTCTATTTATGAAACTAATAAACCTCTTATTATTTATTTTAATTTCCTTGGCAAGATCTGTTTCTTCTTGACTTTTTGCAGTTCTCATTTTATTCCTACGTTTTCTAATCTCCACAATGTAGTTTTCTTTGCTGATCAGTCCCCTTTTCCATTCCCTCTAGGCTCTCTGCTTACTCCTAATAACCTTTTTGAGGAGGGTATTCATCTACCTGTGTATGGAGCCTTTACCTTCAAGTTTTTTCCCCTTGCTTGTGATGCAAATTTTCAGTTTTTGCACTGTTGATTTGAAGAAATTGCAAGCCTCCTCCACATGTAAGTTCTTGAGCTCTTTAGTGCAGTTGATTTGGGAAATTCCTTTAATTTCCCAAAGTCTGCCCCTTTGAAGTAAAAAGTCATAGTTAATGACCTGGTTTTGATTATCCTTCCATTTAATTTAAACTGAATCAACTCATCATCACTTGATCCAAGATTATTTCCTATGACCTTCTATGATGTCTTCACTACTTACCAAAACCAAGTCTAAAATAAACTACATCACTTCTTATTGATACAGTGACAATTTTGAAGGGAACTGACATCTATCACTTCCAGGAATAAATGGGACCTACCATAATTAGTAGCATTTATTCTTCAATCCATATCCAATATGTTTGTCTCCCATTATGACACAATTTCCAATAGTACTTATCTTTCTAATCATATTTGAAGAGATCTCTATCCATATGAGTGTGACCCTAGGGGTCTATAGCAACCCCCTAACATTATCCTGATTCAACCTCTTTTACAATTGTTGCCTAAAGTGATTTTGACCCAAACAAATTTTCACTGATGTACAACACTATCCTATCCTATCTGTCCTAAGCAGCACATACCCTTCAGTACCTGTATTCAAGTTATGAGTGCTTTTCACCAGGTTTCTGTAATCCCTGTAATACCTGGTTTGACCTCCTTGTAGACTTTAAGGTCAGAAGGGACCATCATCATCATCTAGTCTGACCTCCTGCACTTTGCACATCACAAAACCTTACCCACCCGCTCCTGTAATAGACCCCTAATCTCTAGCTGATTTACTGAAGTCCTCAAATCCTGGTTTAAAGACTTCTAGTTACAGAGAATTCACCATTTACACTAGTTTAAACCTGCAAGTAACCTATGCCCCATGCTGCAGAGGAAGGTGAAAAATCCCCAGGGTCTCTTCCAGTCTGACCCAGGGGGAAATTCCTTCCCAACCCCAAATATGGTGATCAGTTATATCCTGAGCATGTGGCCAAGATCCTGCCCCAGTAGTTCCAGTTCCTCCATTTTATTTACACTCCTCACATTAGTGTACAAATATTTCCATTGTTTCTCTAGGACCTCACCCAGTTTTCTATCTGGATTAGAGATAATCCTTTCACTAACTGTAACAACTACTTGTCTACCACTCCACTCAATATTTGTAATTTTTTTCTCTGTGGTGTTGATACTCTTACTTTGTGATGTTCCATTATCCTTTACTATATCTTCATTTAGCCGATTTTCCTCCTCCTGTGTATTGAAGTCCAGTCGTGGAGATTTCATGAGTCTCTCCCAACCTTCTCCTCTCATCTCCTAGTTAAAAGCCTTCTTATCAATCATGCCAGCCTTGGTCCCAAAACTTTAATACTCAAGTGAAGTCCATCAGTTGAGAAGAGTCTCTTCTTTCTCTGAATATCTTCCAATGGTCAGTCAACCCAAAGCCTTCCTCATAGAACCAATCCTTGAGCCATCTGTTGATTATCATTATCTTGTCATGTCTTCAACCTTCTTCTCTAGGGACCAGAAGAATTCAGCTGAAAATCACCTGAGTTTCCTCTTCTTTAAGCACCTTACCCAGCCAAGTATACTCATCCTTGAGTCATTCTAGTGGAAATCGAGCAATGTCATTCATCCCAACATGCAGCACAATCAGTGGATTCATCTATGCTCCCATCCGGATCCTCATCAGCTTCATGTCCACACTTCGTATCCTTGCTGCTGGCAGACAGCATGCTCTCCTCTGAATCTGGTCTGGTGAGAGACCTGATGATTCTTCTGAGTATGGAGTCCCCAACCACATAGATCTGTCTCATCCTGGTGTTGGAATGAATCTGTCTTTTGTTCTGTGTCATAGTCCCCGATACATCATCCTCACTTTTCTTTAAACTCCAGTTTCTGGTTTTCTCTGTCATCTCTCTCTCTCTCTCTCTCTCTCTCTCTCCTGTAGGGACTGACTTCCCTTCTTTTCTTCCTTGCCACTGTATCTTCTACTTGTCTCCTCCTCATTCCACAAATCTTGAGTTGTCTGTACCACCTCCTCTCTCCTGTCCTGCATTATGCCTTCAAATTCCCAATTGAATTCCATCATTATCTCCAGCTGCATCTCTAATCTCTGCCATGAGTTCTATCAGGTGACATTTCATGCCTGAGTAGCTTCCATCGGATACCCACTCAAGGATAATATACTCTTTTGGGTCACAAATTCTTAAATACACATCATATATCTGGAACAACTCAGTTTGTGTAAAAGACCATGTAATTTGGCCAATGGGCTTGTAAAATACAATATTTTAAAGGTCTGGACTTTATCTTCATGAACATTTAATAGATTGGAAATTATACATTTTTTGCAGAAAAACAGGTTGCAAAATACTCAGTTTCCTTTCCGTGTGTCAGAGGTAATTACTTGAAGGAGTCCGTACTTCTAGGAAGGAGGAACTTGGCTCTGCAGAATGGCTCATTGGTATGAGTAGGAGACAAAAAGTGACATTAACTCTGAGGGTTCCTGAAAAGCTTTTGAAGTTTCCAAGTCATCCGGTTCAAGTTTCCACAGAACTTGTTTGTTCAGAATTTGTGTTGTTTTTTTTTTTAATGAAACCCAGCTAAACCACCATGTTTTGCCTTAAAAATCAATCTTAGAGGCTAAGTTTGTCACAGTTTTCAATCAAAACAAGGAATTAGTCCGAGAAGCTTAGCTTAGCTTAGATATGCCAAAAGGTTCTTGGACCACCACAAAACCTTTGGTGAAACTGGCCTGACTCTTTCAGGTATGTAACCAAACACCGAAGCAGGTGATGCCTGGCTTGTTAAAGATTTCATTAGGAAAGTTTCACCCTGCTCTATAGGAATCATGTAAGGCATATAGAGTTTCGCACCTGCTATCTTGAAGACTTTGCTACTCCTCAGTGGTCTGCAAAGTTCCTGGGTTTATGTATGGTGTCTTGTCTTTTGTGCCAGACTTATTTTTGGATGCACCCACAGACTTCAGTTTAACTTAGTGATAAGGTTTTTGTGAGGTTTTTCTATTAAATGGGGTTTTTCTCCTTGCCGTCAACAGCATAAAGTGGATAAAGTAATTGAAGAAGCTAAAGCAATCTGCAGCTTTCTCTGTTCTGTGGAAACCAGGGCTATTACTGATGCAGTCAAGAAACTCCGTTCAGTGCCACTGGGAAAAACACAGGTAAAGGATGCACTGAAACCTTTACAAGGTTGGCCTGAAGTGCTGATGTCCTATTCCCTCTTGGACACCATAACTTAAGTAGGTATCATTCATTTCTTCATTGATCAAGATGATGAGTCGAGATACTGCCTTGCTACTTATTTTCTCAGAGGTGAATATTAGGAAGAGGCAGCTTAAAAAGAGAAAAGGTTGTGAGCAATGAAACGTATGACTAGAAAGCAATAAAAGGTCGGTCTTGTGGGTAAGGTACTGAACTTGGACATAGGATAGTTGGATTATGTTCCCAGCTCTGCCATAAAATTCTTGTGTGACCTTGGGCAAGTCATGTAGGATTAGGTTAGCAGAGGTTCTGAGCACTCAAAGCTCCATTTTAAGTCAGTATCCGGGGAATGCAGGTACTCCGCACTACTGAAAATGAGGCCATTAATCACTGTGGGTTAGTCGTGCTAATGCTTTCTCACATTAATGAAATTCGTACTTCAGCACAACTCTATGGAGGGCCGGGTAGGGAAGGCTGTGCCTCCCCAAACAGCCTAGCCCCCGCCCCCTATCCGCCCCCTCCCACTTCCTGCCCCCTGACTGCCTCCCTCAGAACTCCCGACCCATCCCATCCCATCTCCCCCTGCTCCTTGACCCCTAACCGCCCCCACAGGACCCCACCCCTACCCAACCCCCCCGTCCCCTGACTGCCCCAACACCTATCCACACCCTCGCCCCCTAACAGCCCCCCCAGGATCTTACTGCCTATCCAACCCCATGCTCCAGGTCCCTGTCCCCTGACTGCCATGACCCCATCCACATCCCCGCCCCTAACCACTCCCCGTGACCCCACCCCCTATCCAACTCCCCCTGCTCCCCATTCCCTGACTTGCCCCCCCCCCGAACCTCCACCCCATCCAACCGCCCTCTGCTCCCTGTCCCCTGACTGCCCCTCGGGACTGCCTGCCCCTTGTCCAACCCCCGCGCTCCCCGCCCTCTTACCATGTTGGAGCCAGCCACGCCGCCATGCTGCCCGACAGGAGTGGCGGGCCAGAGTGCTGCCCACATGGTGGCGTGGCTGCGGGGGAGGGGAGACAGCAGGGGAGGGGTCGGGGGCTAGCCTCCCTGACCGGGAGCTCAGGGGCCAGGCAGGACCGGGCCACAGTTTGCCCACCTCTGTCCTAGACTATGCCATAAGAGTGTATAGCTCAATTTTCTCACGGTAAGTCAGACCAATTGGTTTCCTTTAATTTCTTCCCTAGCATTCCTTCTGGTTCATTGTTCGTTGTTGTTAAGTCTAGTTTATATAGCACTCTGAATACGGTTGGTGCTTCACTGATAAGTGTATAAATCACTGTCATGTGTAGCTTCCAATCTAAACAGGTCTGTCAAATACCACACATCCTCTGGTGTGGTGTTAATTTAAATACAAATATTCACAAGAATAGTCTTCTGGTATTTCAGGTCACAAATGCAGTAGAGAAATAATAAAAAAAACTACAGCAGTTTATGACAAGGTGTATTGACTCTCATCTGTAGAATCCATCTACCATTTCTGGGGACAGAGATAAAAATCTTCCTCCTGAACACAGTATTTTCTTCAGTGCCATGCACTTAATAAACAGATGGCCGAGGAACCCAGTTCTTTGGGATGGGGAAAGGGCTAATTGTGGGATAATTGGTCTTTTAGAAATGAACTAAAGAGTATAAAAAGGAAAGAGGCTGAAACTGATTTTTTCAAATTGGTACTGAATTGGGAAATGGATTCCTCCCCAGACAAAGGGAGATTCTGGTTATGAAAGCCACTTTCCCTTTATTTCATCAGCACTCTTGAACCCAAATCCTAAGAAGCAACCTACATCCAGTTTGTGTCAGGCTTGCCTAACTTGTCAGAATCAGTTTTCAGATATTCCATTTGAAACCAGAGACAGAAATATCCAAATCATGGCCTGCCTTGGATACCTCTAATCGGAAAACTGCATCCTAAACGCAGCAATGAACTGGGGAGAAGGGGGGAAGAGCTATGATTGCAGGTCTTTTTGCATGAGTCTTAAGTTTCTGTTAGTGAATGAAATCCATTGAAAGCTTGGGTTCTGCGTTTCTTCGGGGTTAGTTCCAGGTCCTGTAAAACTGTAAACTGGAATGGTTGGCAATTCAGCACTTAGGTGAGAGAACCCAAAGCATAAACTGTTCTGTAGCGAGAACTCTAGTTCACATGTCCCTGTGATGGGTTTCTCTTGTACTCCCAGCACTGGCTCAGTTCACTGCTCTGCCAGAGACATCCTCTGTAATGTTAACCAGGTAACACAGTCTCTCTGCTCAAGTTTGCTATACTGGAAATGGGCACAGTCATAATAATCCTTTTTCCTGTCTCGTCTCATTAAATCATGAGTTCTTCAGGGCAAGAGCTGCCTCTTATTATCTGCATGCACGGCACCTATCCCAATGGAAACCCGGTCTCAGCTCGGATCTCTAAGTGCCGCTGTAAAGCAAGTAATAAATTGGTGGTGGTGGTGTTTACTCATCTGTTATGGTCCAGTCTGAACATTAGAAAGACGGTATTGTGGGTTCTTTTCTGATAAAATACTTTCTCCCCAGCCCTGAATAGAACATCTAGTTTGATACAAACTTTGCAAAAAAGTAGTTTCATGCTGATGAGATTTCTCTTCTGTCAACAGACCCTTTCCGGCTCGGTCAGCTGGCCTGGCTCGCTGTCCTTCCCGTGAATTAATCAGACGTATTAGATAGGTAAGTGGTCCATAGATCCCGAAGAATTAAGGGGAAAAAATGTGTCACCGGTGGCCAAAAAACACTGCATCGTATTTTTATGGGGCCAAAACTCCTACTTAGGACTTCAATGCACTAGCTAATTAGACTTGGGCGGCCCCTCAAAAGTTCAGGGTTGCTGCAAAAGGAGCTGCTTCTCATCCAGGGGCAGCTGAATTATACATGAAATAAAAGCAGACAGACATTTTGTTGCACGTATAGCAACTCAAGTTCAACTCAGTTTTCTAGTATAATTTCCTATATATATGTATAATATGTGTACAGATGCAGGTGTGGATAAATGATGAGCCAGATCTTCAGGAGGTATAACTTAGCTCATCATATCTATCTCTATATTTAGTTGTGTTACCTGAATCAGTATTCAGCAGTTTGATATTTGATGATGGGCCAACTCCTCCAGTCCTTATTCAAGCAAAACTCACATTGAAATCCTAAGTAGGAGTTTTGGCCCCATAAAAATACGGTGCAGTGTTTTTTGGCTACCGGTGACACATTTTTTCCCCTTGATTCTTCGGGATCTATGGACCACTTACCTATCTAATATGTCTGATTTAGGTGTTTCTGTAGTACCCATCAACATAGCAGCCAAAGTAGTGTAGCTTTCCTGTCGGGTTCTGTGGGTATAAGTCCCTATCTACTGAAAGCCTGAAATCAGGATGTGTAACTGGTTCAAGGATCATCCTTTTTCCAATTTTGATGCCATTACTCAAATGAAATTTGCATAGCTACTTGCTGCATTCCTTGTGCTGCAGGATTATACACCAGGAAATAGAGAGATGCCAGAAGAACATTTCTATTTCCTTTCTCACATGGTTTCCTGATTTTTAGAATACTGTGTATTGTGGTTTTGTTTGGAATACTTTTTACACATCCAATTGGCGGGTTGCCTGCACACACTACCCCCCAGGGAAACTGCTGCCTGCTCCTTCCAAGGTAAATTACATACGGTAATGTATTTTTGCATATCTTGTTGTGCTTCTATCTATACCATCAACATTTATTTATAATAGTGCCTACATTTCTTCCAACCCTGTGTCTTTATTTAAATCACCCTCATTGCCATGAAAGCTCCCGTACTGTGGTTGGGAGATTATGAAAGAAGCTGGCATCCGTGATAGTTTCTGCATGAACTGACGGTGTCTCTCTCTAAAAGATTCATCCAGTCTTCCAGACATCCTGACCCTGGGAATTTTTAAAATCTATTCAAGGAAAATTCTGGGCCTGCTGTACAATTAATGTTTTTTATCCCTCTCTCACGCTCTCTTTTACTGTGATTCACAAAACGTCTTAGGAGACCAAATCCTGCCAGAACAGGCACTAATCCATTATATATTAAATGGGCTACAGTATGTTGAAATTATCAGAGCTGTTCCAGAAAGATTATTTACTTTACAAAATGCAAGAGAATAAAACAAAGGTCTCTGTTCTCATTTGTTTCACTGTGTAAAGATTGTGAGAAAACATCTCAAACCAGTACGCTTTTTCTTCCCTCAAGTAAGCATTGGACTTCCATGCATACTAACCAGCTGAGCGCTGCCTAACTAGCTGGGTACTACTACTGCTTGTATATGTCAGCTTTGAATGAATTAGAGCATTTAAAAGGATCCTGCTGAATTCAGGGACAACTAAAGTGTGGTCTCCCTGATCAACAGCAAAGGGATTAATGAGTATAAGGGAATAATTGACTCTTCAGTGGGGTGAGGGTTCCAACAGGGTGCTGTTAAGAAACAAACCAATCCCATACTGCAGTATTAACTTTATACAGGCATTTGTCTATGTTTCAGCTTTATATTTCAGCATTTATAGCATCTTGGTAAATATTAACTTATGAATGGTGCTTATGGCAAATGAGGACTTGGTGGCACAGCTGGTTAAAATTAAATTTTAAAGAATCGTCAATTAAATTATCTATGCACATAAATAATTGGTCTGATCTTTCAGAGGTTCTGAGCACCAGGCACCTCCCAGTGAAGGAAGTGGGAGATGTTGTCTGCTCAGCACTTGTAGAAAATCAAGCTTCCGATTTAGCTATCTAGCTAGGAATTGGGAGCCTAACTTTTAGGCACCCCATTTGGAAAAGTTAATGCGGCTCTGTGTGGGTTGTGACATCTGTCTACATAGAATAACTTATAGAAATAGACAAGACATGCAAAGGGTGGGGGAGAGAAGATATTGTGATCCCCTCGGCTTCAGAGCCCAACCTCCAGCCTGAGCCACAGCGGCTACACAGCTATTGTTGTGCAAGCCCCAGAAGGCCGAATCTGTCCCCTCAGGCTCTGAGACTCATTGCTGTGGGCTGTGTAGATGTACCCTCAGTGACTTGCCTAAGATCATACAGGAAGCTTGTGATACAAACAGAAACCAAACCCTGATCTCCTGAGTCAAAATCCAGTAAGTTCCTCTCATGATCTATGCTTCTCCCTTTTGCCCCAACTCCACGCAGTTCCCATAGGAAATCTCCATGCCTGACCAATACCATTTCCCACATCAATTAAAGCTGATGTTCAGTCTTTTCTGTATTATAAATACTCATGATTTTTTTCTTGTCTTTTTAGAATTCACTTCAAAATGTAGAAACTCCAGTCAGAGGTAAAGATGTTTCTTTTAGACATTAATACAAAAAATAAAAATCAGCAAAATACGCATTCTTCTTCAATTTGAATTAATGTTAAAGAATTCATTTCTTAATTTATAGCATAAGACAGTTGCTGTAAGTAAAGCAAATGCAAGTGTTTCAAAGTCTATATAGATCATTATATTGTCTCCAATTCATCTTAGAGATAAAATAGTCATTATTTTTTTCACAGATTAGAAAATATAGTCCGTTATAGCATTTTAAAAGGCAAAGTGGATTGAGCTCCTTTTAGAGGTTGTCCTTAATCTCCCTCTCCTGCTGAAAAAAAGAAAGAAAGCACCACGGTGAAGCTGCAAATTTAGGTTTGTCTGTAACATTTCTGTCCCTCTTTAATAAACTCTGGTGCTGCTATGTTAATGATATAATTTAAGGGATTTAGTAAAATGGTAATGGGGGCAAACAACCATCCATCTTTAGTCCCCCTAGTTCAAATCAGACCAGACTAGTAGTGACTGAAAATTGTTACTGCCTGATTGGTGTTTGATGTCTTATGTGACTTAACTAAATGGTCTCCGTTTATTTGCTCAGACTGATGTTCATATTGCAAAATAAAATTTAAATTTTTTTTGTATGTATCTCTCTTCATTGCAGTATGATCTGAGTTTCTGAGAACTGAATGGATGTTAAGAATGTAGAAGCCCTTCATGCTTTTCATGCTTAGGGTTTGTCTATACATGACAGTTGATCCAGAATAAGATAAACTGCAAATTTAAAGCCGATTGACTATTCCAGATTAGCTCAGTGTATCTTATTCCAAATTAGCTCAATCTGCTTCCAAAGTGAATTTAAGATAATTCAAAATAAGACACTCTAACTCCAGGGGTGGACACTCTGGTTCCTGAATAAATCAAGAATAGCTATTCTGGAAAAGTTTTCTGTATAGACAAGTTTTTTTAGAGATGGTTCTGGTCAGGTCTAGGGTATGGTGACCAGATCAATGCCAGGATAGTTTATAGCTGCTAACCAATTGTACTTGTATTCTGGATAAACCTAGGATTTTAGACATCAGGCTGGTCATTCCAGCATTTTTCAAATTCATTACAAATAAATAAATTAAATAATAACTCAATTGTATAAAGAGCACCTACATCCTCAGCTGCAGGAAAGAGCAAAGTATCTTTGTGCATAGCAGAGAGGTGAGCATGCAAGTGCCATGAGCAGGAGGCACCTATGGTCTGTGGAATTCCTCCCCCTTGGAAGAAGTTGTTTATCCCATGAGCTCTGTTCAACTCTAGTTATGGCAACAATTTGCTAAACATGAAAGAAATTAATAGTTGCTAATTCCAATCTATCCCTCATACACCTTATGCATCTTCCGCGCGCTCTTGAAAACACCCTCATGGTACGAATTTGAACCATTCCTCTGTATAAGGCTATTTGCAAGCTTGGGATTTACTGAATCAGAATTTTCCTCAAAGAAAATCTGTTTGAGGTATTGAGGAGCATTATAGATCTCTAAGAGATTTTTGCCTATCTGCTTGTCTACACCCTTTTATTTATGCCAGAAAAGTGTCAGTCTTTTTCAGTTGAAGGCTTTTGTATTTGTTCTGGCTACACCCTTAATTTCATAAGCACTGCAGAATCCATTCTGTAATGTACCCTTCGGAACTGCACCTTACTGATTTTAGTGAGGTCCTGTCAGAACTTGTTGGCATCTTAGTATTCAAACAGGTTAAATCCTGGTGATGCTGTTTGTATTGTCTTTTTAAGTTATTTTTATTAAACTTTTTTCTGTTATTAATTGTAACTTGTGATGGGGAAAGATGATCATTTCTAGACTTCCCACCTGTCTGCACAACAGCATGTTCCCATAAAAGAGAGAATATAATTATTCAAGTCAATAAAGATTTGACATTGTGGGTTTATTGTGATCCAGGTTATAGACAGACAGACAGAAGCAAGTTTACACAAAACTCAGCCTGTTTGTCTTCTGTGAAGCCGTAATGGATTAATGGTTTGTACAGTATTAGAGTATGCAGCCTTCTGATGAAATTACTACCTGAGATCATATCTGTCAGAATAAGCAGCCTTAATATTTGGTCAGTACTTGGTCAGAGGCATTCACGAAGACTGTGGGTGCACCGTAAAGAGGAATTGTTCAAGTGACAGTATCTTTCCTCTGTGCTGCTAGAGATGCCATCTTTTGGAGGGAATGTAAAATAGATATCCTCACTGCTTGAGGGCTAGTGATGGTCTCCTGGCACTGCTAAAGATGTAAAGTTTGACACATTCATTTTGGAATTTGACAATTATTTCTAGAACTGATCAGAAAATTGTAAGTATTTTCCATAAACATTTTTAAAAGAAACAAAACATTTGCTTTATTCAAATTTTCTGTGGAAATTTTCCCTCCTTTTTTTTTTTTTTTTTAATGAAAAACTGAAAAAAACTTTTTCTACCCCACCAATTTTTGCCTATTTTTTTTCCTGGTTGAACAAAGTTGAGAAAACATATTTTGGATTGAACAATACATTTTGTTTTGATTTAGAGCTTTTGTCACATTGTTGCATTTTTAATAAAATTGAAGGCCATTTCTAAACAAAAAGTCACTTTGATCCAAACACTCAAGTTCGTGGATGGAATGTGAATACAGGAGTACAGAGGGCATATTCAACATGTATTGAGCTGACATAATCCTCAACAACAACAACAAAATACTCACCCTGACAGAAGGCCGAAGACTAAAAGAATACATAAAAATATAATACTGGATCAGGAAGAAAGAAAGAAAGCAATGTGATACATGCTAACTTATTTTATTCTTTGTTTTCCAAAGTCTAGAAAGTATATGCTGCAGGTGTAAAAAATCAACACTTTCAGTTACTAAATTGCTTCCTTAATTTTGCTTACTGGAGGAGGAATTCTCTCTGCATGTGCAAGGATTAATGAGTTTTGTGGAGAGCATGGCAGAAGCTGAATTTCATCATGCATGGTCTCAGTCCATTTCCCAGTGGACGTGTCCACATCACAGTGGCTGAGATCTTAAACTAAATAATTTCAGACTAGAAATCGGGTGCAGATTTTTAACGGTGCAGGTAATTAACCATTTAAACAATTTACCTAGGTATGAAGTGGTTTCCACCATCATTTCAAGTCTTTAAATCAAGAATGGATGTCGACTTTAGACCAGACAGAAGTTATGAATATGCAGGAATTACTGGGTCACGTTTTACAGCCTGTCTTATGCACATGTTAAAACTAGCTGATCATAATGGTCTTTTCTGGTATTAAAATCCATGAATCACAAAAAACAACTGAAATTCTTGGCTTCAGGAACAAATAGTGTACATGGTACACCAAATCCTATGTAACAGCTGACTATGTAAGAAAGATTTTGCCCAGCCATTGTGAGTAATGGATGCTTACAAATCTGCCAAGATATTTTTGTCTCTAGTTTTGTTAACTGAGGTCCTGCTTAACGAATGAAGAGTGGAAAGAAACAGCTATATCGGTCTTCGAAGCTGAAAGGGATTTTAAATGGAGGTCACACAGTAGTAAATAACTCAGAGATCAGTGGGTTTGGCAGTGCTGTAACTAGCCATTTTAGCTCCCAGGGCGAGCAAGCACATTTGCACCCCCTACCATTTTTTTCCTGCCCCATTTTTCCACTCCCGCAGCTTTGCACCCCACTTGTCCCACTCTGGTTACAACCCTGGGCTTTGGTGTCAAGAAAAAAGTGTACCGGCTACTTTCAGGAGTTAAAAATGAACATCCATCTATTTATACGCTGGACTGAATATTACTTTAGGAAGATTCTTGCCCTTTACCTCAAAATATACTAAAACACTAAGTAATCACAGTAGAAGATACACCAGGGCCCCTTCTTTTATTTGTTTAGAGCACTCTGCATTCAGTTTAATCTGTAAAGGGATTTATCAGATCTACTCTTCTGCAAAATTATGTTAGTGCACAGTATAATCTGGTCTATAATAGCCTTGTGAAGTTCTATTCATCAGCTTGTTTGGTGTGGGTAATTTTTCTGTTATGTAAAATATCAATTTTTTTCACATTCATCACCGCAGTCATTCTAAGAGTGCATTTTGTGCTTGTACTAGTAAGTTTTCATTGTGCTATAGCAAGGCTAGTGTATGTATACATATTGTTCCAGCGATGTGACATATTTTAGCTCCAAAGTACTAAGTCTGATCCATTGTCATTCCTTCCACTGCCACAATATACCTAAGAATATAAATGGAGAATTCCATTATATGGAAGCTCATACATGTTTCTTCTGATTCTTGTCATTTAAAAAAAGCTTTCCTACTCTGGTTTGGTTAACGTATTTTCTTATTCTCTTGTTCTGTACATATAATCTGAAACATTGTCCTACAGCTTTCAACATATGCTTATGTAAGAAACATTGGAGGCCAAGGGCATGTTTCAGCAAACTGAGGGTTGTAGTTGGCATTTTAAAATGCTTCTGAGCTATGTTTCGCTGTGTTTTACAAAGAGTTGAGAAAAACCTTCTGCAAATTGTAGTTATTATCGGCTTTATCTTGCAGCCATGGACCTCAGTGGGACAGCCTGCAGATAGGAAGGGACTGTCTGTACACACATTCCACTTTGGACAAATGAAAAGCCCTGGACTTCACTAAATAATTGCCTCCAGACAGCTGTTGACTGTATGTTCACAAACTCTCACTCAAATTAATCCATTTTGGATCAGATGGGTTTATGTATACTATTTTGGCACAAGAGAGCTATCTCCTTCATATAGTAGAACACCTTCTTTGTATTTGTAAATATGCCCCTTTCTCATCAAACCTGTTTTGGAGCTCCTAGGACATGTAGATGTGGTTGAATGTAATTCTGTGGCGCACAGAAGAACACAATGAAAGGCTTAGTATGGAAATTACAAAATTGTTTACAGGAGTTACAGGGACATACGAGTGGCATTGAGGATAGGAAAAGGGCCAAGTAAAAGATGCGGGTAATACAAAAGGAGGATAGATGGAGAAAAGGAACAGTAAAATGAATGAATAGGAAAATGGTGAGAGAAAGAACAGAGGAGAGAGGTATAAACAAAAATAGATTGAAGAGGATTGTGAAAGAGTTTTGTTAGCCTATCAAACTATAAATGTACTCGTTATTCAGATCCAGAAGAGGCGTCACAACACTATAAGAGGCAGTGTTGTAGCCATTCTTTTCTGGAGATATGATGTGGAGGCATATTTCCAGGAATGAAAGGCAAAACAAGTTGGCACCTCCCACATGTAGACAATACATAGGTCCCAGTTCAGCTTAGCACTGGCTCATTAACTTCAGTGGGACTTAAGCAGCTGCTTAAAATCAGGCACCTGCTTAAGTGCTTTGTTGAATCAGGACCATAGATGGGAACATACACTCTAACCCCGTCACCCGTGCACACTTGTGTTTGGACAAGCATTGAGATTAATAGAAAATAATGAAAAAGTACTTAAACTATATCCTCTTGTTTCGATTTATGGGTAGTCTGAGACAAGAAGGGTGCAATAATTTTGGAGGTACCGCACCTGTGAATTATAGAATTTAGTATGTTTTGTATGATATTTATGGATATTTTAGGGTTGATTGCATCTTTCTTCCTTGCTATTCATATCAGGTCTTCACGATCCATTTTGCAACTCTCATACAAAAACATGAATTATACATTTATTTTAGAGACACCATCTATGTAATTTTCAGGTCCTGCATGAGCAGATGGTCACAGTTATGCTAAGATAAGATCACAGTGGCATGCTTTTAAAATATAGTCAGATAAATTACTGCAGCTGAAATGAGATTGGGAAATATAACAATTCCCCTAAAAATTTCCAAATGTCAAACTCTTAATCGGATAGGGAAAGAATCAAATATTACTTATAGTATGCAGCATGTTTATCCTATTAAGATTTTTTTAAATCTTACAAAAATTACAGAAAGGTTTAGAAATGTATATGAATCTGAATAATACTTGCACTTACACAAGCTATAATAAAACTGGAAGGGATATTGATCCTCTCACTTCAAGGAAGAAAATTAACTTGGGTCAAGCAGACATTTCCCCTGTGCTACAGTATTAAGCAAATAGATACATTATGGATGCTTGGGTCTTCCTCTGCAGCATCCACTATTGGCCACTCCTAGAGACAAGTATAACAATAGGTGGACTAGCTGTTATTCTTGGTTACCCATAGATTAATAAATTACTGTACATGTCCTACAATACACAATGCAATAATCACATAGTATTAACATTTAACTTGCACTAGTTCTCAACTCTTCTTAACTATGTTGCCAGGTCCCCTGAACTAAATAGTTGCTTAGCTGCAGAAAACATGATAAACGTCCTCACAGAGTGGGAATTAAGAGACTGAAATGACATAGCTGAAGCACATTGACTTTACAGTGGTTTAAAAAGTCTTCCTTTGTAAATGCCTTTGTTTGAAGATATTGTAATAAAGGACTGTTGATATACCAGAAAATGAGCTAAGATGGTTTTCAGGAGCACAGATGGCTAATTGGCTTCACTTGCTAGATTGTCATTTTAATTAAATTTTAATAGGAGGAATTTCAAAGCCATAATTGATGTCTTATGAGAAATATGCTTCTTTACCAATGACCTATTGCTAACCTTTATTTCCCCCCCCCCCCCCCAGTCTTGATAGAGAATGCTGTGGCAGAGCTATCTACAGCCATCTCCCATCTCATCCATGTTTTCAGCAGCAGCTTCCACACAGATTTTCGGCCTGCAAAAATACTTAGAAGCCCTTCATGTGCAGATGTCGACCTAGATCCCCACTTTAGCTTCACTGTTTATGCAGCCCACAACATCCCAGCAGCCTGGCTGAAAAGGTAAGAGGTGCCAGTCGTTCTCTTTAGAAGGGCTTCTTTCCCTCATGTATATTACAGCTAGCTGCAGTGCATGGCTGCTGCCTGTTTTGTGTTGCTGTTATGAAAACACAGATCAGATTCAGATCTAGTGTAAGCAGAGGCAGCTGTATTATTTTCCAGGAAGCTGCACCCACTTACACCGAAGAGAGGTCCTTTTTGGAGCATTCTAGGTAGGGGAGCATAGGTGGAGGACTCAGGAGGCAACCTGAGACAAGTGTGGGAGGACAGTGGCAGGGTGGGTAGCTGCCCTGGCAGGAGTGTGTTAGCGAGAGACCTGCCAAGAGAGAGGGTTGTGGATGAAGGGGGAGAGGGGTTTGCTACCTGCCCATGGAGAGGGGTGTGGCAGGGTGCATGTGGGCCCTGCATAATGAGTGGTGCATGGTTTGAGGCCATCTTGCTGAGTCAGTGGAGCTGCACCTGCTTACAGCAGGTCTGAATTTGACCTGAGCAATGGCATTCATGGTAGATGTATTTAAACCATGATTACCAGGCTACACCTATGCTGTGACAATTTTTGTTTACAGATGATGGTTAAAAACGTTTGTAGTTTTATCGGCCTGAGTGTATCTGGTACATTAAGCACCTCGGAGAAAAACAGAGGGAGACCACTTTAATAAAAGAAAAAAACGAATAAAAATAATCTATGCCACATTATTTATTTGTTCAATTAGTGTCTCTTCAAATGGCTGGTTTTCCTACTTTACTGTAAAGTGAACACTTTCCCCTCACCACACCAAGGCAATCAAGAGAGGGTCAGATGACTGCAGTCTGGCAGCATTATTGTTGCAGGGGGACATGCGGTTTTCTAGATTTTTATTAATGTTTTTCCCATGCACTCACTTTTCCTTGAATTGCAGATGACTAATTAAAACACAATGGGATCATTTGCATTAGAACATTAGCAAAGGAATGTTCTATATAGCATTTAGCTATAATTAGCAGTTTAATAAAAATTTCAGAAAATTTGCATTACTGAAGATAATAGATACAGAAGCATAATCACCGCTTTGGTTCTGCAGATGGTTGTACTGTTCCCAGTGTATTTTATTTTAAGGTTTTACCACTAACAGGTGAAATTACATGTGGCCTAGAGGCCGCTGATCACTTGAGCACCATCTCAATATACAGACATATGAGAAAATGAGAATCATTTTTCTTTCTAAATCTCCCTCTCCGATCTTTCCAACATTCAGTAGCTAAAATAGTCTTCCTTTCCTACCACTGCAGCTCTGTAACCTACCTTTCTGCCTTTACTGGCCTTTACTGGCTCCCTGCCTCTTTTCACATTCAAATTTCTCATTCTTACTTCTGAGGCACTGCACAATTCTGGCCCTCACATCTAAGCTCTTGTTTCAGCCTGTTCACAATTTTGTACAATTATGCTCCTGCTGTTCTTCTCATCTTGTTGCTTCCTTTGTCTGCCTGTCCCATGTCTTCCACCCTTCCAGCTGCTCCCTCCTGCCCCCCACTTCCTACTACACCCAGAACAACTTTCCCTGTTCTAGTAAAGAAGAAGCCTCATCTCTGTCCTTCTCCTTAAAACTCACTTCTGCTGCCTGGATTCCTGTCACTGGCTTTCCCCTCTGTGCCATGGATTCCTCATTCCTAGCCTTACTTTCTTCTTAAAATAGATAATGTACAGAACCTTACAAGTTACAGAACAATATAATGATACAAATTATATCTGTGTTTTCCATGTTGTCTACCTAATTTAAACCCTGATCCTGCAAAGACTTTAGCATGTGCTAAACTTCGTGCACTGTAAGCGATGCTATTGACTTAAATTAAACTATTCACAACATTTAAAGTTAGGAATACATCTTTCCAAGAAGGAGGCCTTAGAGCTTAAGTTCTTTGGGATAGGGACTGCATTTATAAAGCATTCTTACCGTGTTCTATTGCAATTTAAATAATAAAATCCAGGACTCTGTCTTGTCAGTGTTTATCTTTTGTTTCATAACTTTAATTTATTAATTGTAGGATAAAAGTATAAATGTCATTGTTGTCATATTTAAGACCACATTCAATTCCTATTAGTTATAATTAAGTATTGCATCCTTTTTCTTCATTGAGTTCTCCCTGCTGATTCCTCATCTTTGTCCCCTCAGCTGAATAGAAACATATATAATATAATAAATAATATTCTTAGAAAAAATCAACACGGACTCATTTATAAAGAAGGCAAAAATAGGAACCTCGAGTTGCCAAACCCCTTCAGATTTGCTGTTCAAATTGACTCCCTAGCTCTACACTATGCCTATAGTTCTTGTTCAGAATCTCGGAAGGAGACAATGTTTTGCAAGAAGGGGGAACCCTTTCAAGAAGAGCAGATATTCTAATATTTCACCATTTGGGGCTGATATTGCATATGATTTCAATGATGTAGAATCTGAAACCAAACCACAGCCCTGAAATTGTTTTGAACCCAAAACTTCAACCATAATCTAAACCGAACCAGGTGAGTGTCCAACACTGTCACTGACCAGCATAATAATAAATCGACATACAGTAATAATTACACATCTCTGTAAGCATTATAGTCTCTTTACAGATGTGGAACCTGGGGCACAAAGAGGTTTACTGTTGCCCAGTGTTACACAATGGAAACCTAATCCTATGCACCTTAAAGTCACTGGCAAAACTCCCATTGATTACAGTGGTAACGGGTCAGGCTTAGTCAGTAGCATAGCTGGGAACAGAAACCAACACTCCTCTACCCTAACAATCAAATAATAATATGCTTTTATTAAAACACTAGCATAAGCCTGACTATTTCACTTCTGTCTATAAGGATGAGCTTTTCAGCATTCTGACTAGCTAACTCCAAATTTAATCTATAAGGTATGTTTAATTGTAATTAATACTTTTATGTTTTTTTCTTTGTAGCTACAAGCTCTTCTCCTTTTCCTGTTCTTTAACCTATGCTGGGAAGAAAATATGTCAAGAGATGAACTGCAAAAATATGCCAGTTAAAAAGTCTTTTTTTTTCCTGGCAAACTGGAATGAGAAGTAAGTTTTAATCTTCATTTGAAGGATGCTAGTCTGCCTCATTTTACACAATCAATATTAGATTCTAAAAAATGGAGGGGGAAAAGGTGTCTTCTAGAGATGTCTTCCCTCAACCCACCTAGCAATATTGTTAACCTATCCAACTATACTCTCAGCCCAGCAGAAGCAGCTGTCCTATCTCGGGGCCTCTTCTTCTGCCCCTCCACCCCCACGAACATGATACAGTTCTGTGGTGACCTAGAATCCTATTTTCGACGTCTCTGACTCAAGGAATATTTCCAAAATACCTCCTAACAACATACTAATCCACAGAGGCCTCCCTACCAACACTACAAAAAGAAGGATTCTAGGTGGACTCCTCCTGAAGGTCGAAACAGCAGACTGGACTTCTACATAGAGTGCTTCCGCCGACGTGCACGGGCTGAAATTGTGGAAAAGCAGCATCACTTGCCCCATAACCTCAGCCATGCGGAACGCAATGCCATCCACAGCCTCAGAGGCATCCGATGAAGTGAGCTGTAGCTCACGAAAGCTCATGCTCAAATAAATTGGTTAGTCTCTAAGGTGACACAAGTACTCCTTTTCTTTTTGCGAATACAGACTAACACGGCTGTTACTCTGAAACCTTCTAGAGATGGTATCGGCTCATTTCACAGGTAGTAATAATGTTCTAAATACACCAGCATGGTAATATAAAGCTAAGTGCAATGGATAAAAGTTGGTACCTGGACATACGCTCTAATCTGTCATTATCCTGCGTTTAGGGCACCAGTTGTGGGCCAAAAGGACACTCTGTGCACGGATGTTCCTTTTTATGCAAATAGAATCCCCACAGATTGTAGTGATCGGTAAGTGAAGGGGTGGGGAGCAAGGAGTGGACAAGCCAGGAGAAGGAGGGCGATGGATCAGGCTGAGAGCCTGGCTTCTGGGGACACACGTTATCCTTCTGGGACTGAGCACAAACTGAAGGGAAATGTAAATGCAGCCCCAGGCTGTATTTGTGGTCATCAGTAATCCCTCTGTATCGAAGGTGCTTGAAAGAGATGCTTTTTATTCAGTGAGTCAGTTTCCAACTGCCTCTGCCTATGAGAGCATGGGTCTCTGCCTTGCTCCTCCCCCAGACTTCCTGCCTGGAAAGCTAAACCACTTAAAGATACAGTTCCCAATACTACAAATGTCACTTTCCAGCACAGGGCTGTCCATGCTGGGGAGCCACCTTTAAAGGGGCAGGTGGGGTGGGAAGGGCTTTGGAACAAAAGTCAGCTGGGAGTCCTTGGTAACACAGATTCAAGGGATCTGCACTGCAAGGGAGCAGGGAGTGAGCTTGAGTCTTGCGCAGAAACATAAGGCCTCTGCAATGATGTCCCTTTCCCACCCCCCGCCCAGAGGATCCATGGGGTTTGCAAGCTGGACCCTCAGTTTCTTCAGTGGGTGGGAAGAAACACCCGTCTCTGCAATGGAAGAAAGAAGGACATTCAGGGAGTTTCCTGGTTGCTTTGTAAGTGTGTTCGCACAGGGACACATTCTGGCCCAAGTTTTCGCTAGCGTCTGCCTTCTGATAATCACGTGCAGATCTCATTGAAGCTGACGGACAGCTTTTAACTTCTTGACCTGAAAAATTAAACATGACTTTGTCATTAAATCATTTTTTTAAATCATTCCCTCCTGTTCAACCTTTTCTCTTTATTATTACACCTCTCTGTGTACAATGATAGCTATTAAAAAGTCAACAGTTACCTTACTGTGGTATGTGAGAGAATGTGGTTTGATAGGGTTAAGTCCAAGTTTCTGCCTCCCCTTGTGTGGGTGCTCAGGTGAAAGTAATGATGCTGGGCACTACAGGCTAATCAGGCTCCCCAGCAGAAAAGCATAAACCCTGTAGAAGTAGTTGTTTTGGAAGGCAGAAGGGGAAGTTATTTGGAGCAACACAGATTCCACTCACCGTTACTATAGGGCTGAGAGTAGGTTTTTTCTTCATATTTCTCACAACGTCAGGCCCTCTTGTTTTGTTGCTGTAATTATCCTATCAGATAACAAAATCTTTAGTAGGAGTGTGGGCAGCCTGACTGGTTTACATTCTGCATTTTATATCAGCTAAACCTTTTCAGCAGTTTACATCCTGTTATTACCTATTCAAAAAGATGACTAAGACACTACCATATAGCAAATGTTAACAAATGTTGACTCTTCAGTGGTGACCACTGAAGTTATACATTTAAGTAAAGTTTGGTTTGACAAATGCAATCATCTGACATGGGGTAATGTAATTACAATTGTGTTGTATGATTTTTTTCTCTTGCTTGATTTTTGATGTTGAGTATTTTATTGTCATTCAGGGCTAAAGGAGAGAACTACAGTGCTCACTGTTTGAATCTTTACAAATGCTGGTTAACATAGGCAATTGTTCTCTTTATGGTGTACAATTCTTCTGTATTTATTTTCAATTGTTATCACCATTTGCGTACCGTTTTCTTTTTAAGATCATTGCTTATCTGGAATACAAAGGAAACAATCTGCTGATGTGAGTTTAAGTCTAAGGATCAGATACATCAGCAAGGAAGAAAAGAATAAAATAGAGTTGTTCTTTTATTAAAAGAAAGTTGATTCTGATTTGCATTGTGGCCTGCCAGAGATTTCTGATAAGCAGCAGTTCATCTTCAGTCAGTTCAAAAAAGTAAGGAGGAAAGTACTGCTAGGGAAGTATCAGAGGAATATGTCTCTTGTGGATATTCTTGGCTGCCTAAGAAGTGGTCACCTTTCTAATATGCATCCTAGGAAATCTGTATTTATAGGAGAAGATTTTTTTTCAGGAGTCGGAGACCCATCTGATATAGTAAGAAACTCCTCAGCAAAAAAACAAACAAAGAAGTCTGACTTCTGATTCTACCTGAACACAGAAGTTAGGAAATCATATAATTAAAGAGTCATGGGTTCTGTTATCAGCTCTGCAGCTGAAGTGCAATATTAAGGGGTTACAATTCCACTCACTGAGGTCCTTTTTAAAAAAAAAAAAAAAAAGAAAAAGATATTTCTGTATACATGTGTGGTGGTTTGAGAACTGTGTTAAAATTGTGAGCTCTCACTTGAAATTCCCTGCGGGTTCCCTGGTCCTGCTTGCAGAATAGGGAGTTCTGTAGGGAAGTATGTAATCTGCGTCTTTCAGGGTACACAGCAATAGACTGACTCTGAGGCTATGTCTACACAGCAAAAAAAACAACAACAACAACAAAAAAGCCCATGGCTGGCCAGGCCAGCTGGCTCAGGCTCACAAGGCTCAGACTGCGGAGCTGTATCACTGCTGTTTGGACGTCTGGACTCGAGCTGGAGCCCAAGCTCTATGACCCTGCAAGGTGGGAGGGTCCAGAGCTTAGTCTCCAGCCTGAGCTTGGAAGTCTATACAGCAGTTAGACAGCTCCACAACCCAAGCCCTGCAAGCCTGAGTCAGCTGGCCTGGGCCAGCTGTGAGTTTGTTGTTGATGTGTAGACATATGCTTAGGGCACGTCTACACTGGCAAAGTTACAGCGCCGTTCAGAAAGCGCTGAAGGGAAACCGCTGTTGTGTATTCACACTGTCAGCTGCCTGCACAATAGTGTGTTCACACTTGTGGCACTTGCAGCGGTATTCGGAGCGGTGCACTCTGGGCAGTTATCCCACAGAGAACCTCTTCCTCTTCTGCTGCTAAGACTTGTGGGAAGGCAGAGGAGGTTGCATGGCATCCGGGTCCTGTCCCAATGACCCATGATGCATTGCTTCACTGAAATCCCTGTGCTACTGTCTGCATTTGGTGCCATCTTTCAATGGTTTGTGTATTGCGCGCCCTGCCTCTTCGGGCTGCAGGAATGGATCCCAAACTGCTGACCAGTATGCTGCTTGCTCTGACCAACACATCACGAGTGGCAGTGGAGTTATTCCTTAAACTACAAAGGCAAAAGGAGTGTGACATTGATCTCGCCACGCGTAGTAGCTATGACACGAGATCGCTTGTGGCATTCACGGAGGTGGTGACCACAGTGGAACACCGTTTCTGGGCTCGGGAAATAAGCACTGAGTGGTGGAATCACATAGTGATGCATGTCTGGGATGATGAGCAGTGGCTGCAGAACTTTCGGATGAGGAAAGCCACATTCATGGGACTGTGTGATAAGCGCACTCCAGCCCTGTGGTGCAAGGACATGAGAATGAGAGCTGCCCTGCCCTTGGAGAAGTATGTGGCGATTGCACTGTGGAAGCTGGCTACTCCAGACTGCTACCGATTGGTCACTAACCAGTTCAGAGTGGGAAAGTCGACTGTTGGACTCGTGTTGATGGAAGTGTGCAGGGCCATTAATTGCATCCTGCTCCGAAAGACCATGATTCTGAGCAATATGCATGACATTGTAAATGGCTGTGCTCAAATGGCTTTCCCTAACCGTGGAGGGGAGATAGATGGCATGCATATTCCAATTCTGGCACCAGCCCACCTAGCTACCAAGTAGATTAATCTCAAGCGATATTTCTCAATGGTTCTCTGGCACTTGTGGATCACCATGGCCATTTCACAGACATTAGCACAGGCTGGTCTGGAAAGGTGCATGCATCTTTCGGAACACTGGCTTATTCAAGAAGCTGCAAGCAGGGTCTTTCTTCCCGGTCCAGAAGATCACCGTAGGGGAAGTCAAAATGCCCATTGTGATCCTGGGAGACCCCACCTACCCCTTAATGCTGTGGCTTATGAAGCCATACACGGGGCAACTTGACAGCAGCAAGGAGTTGTTCAACAACAGGCTGAGAAAGTGCAGAATGACTGTTGAGTGTGCTTTTGGCTGTTTAAAAGCTCGCTGGTGATGCCTCTATGGGAAGCTGGACCTGGCCGATGACAATATTCTTATGCTTATAGCTGCGTGCTGTATGCTCCATAATATTTGTGAAGAGAAGGGTGAAAGCTTCACTCAGGGCTGGTATATATGAACTCTAGCCAGAATAAATTAAGCCATACAATATCCTTCTGAAGTATTATTTG